AATATAAAATAATAAGTTAATAATTCCAAACAAATAATTTGCTTTACATTTTCTGGAATTGCATTGAATTCACAGAAGTAGACAATAGAGCATAGGCAGATATTAAAATAATAGGGAGGGGAAAGACCCTGACTGGTCCTCTTATTTTAAAAAGAGTGACAAAGTTACACTCAAAGCATCCTGAACACTGAGCATCTACTGTTTTCCCAGCCTACGATCCATGCATGTCCCCTGTTCTTTTTCCTCAATTAGTTTTTATCTTGGGGTTTGGAAAACGGGGAACAGGGAGATGGAGATTTTTCTTGAAGGAGATAAAGTAGTAGGGACTTTCTTTGATATTTAACAGTTTCAGTGAATTGATTAGCTAGATAACTGTCATCCTTAATATTTCAAAAGACCTGAGAGCAATTACACTGACACAGGTTAGAAATTTGAAAAGGGGCACCTGGGTGACACAGTCGGTTAAGCATCTGCCTTGGGCTCAGGTCATGACCACAGGGTCCTGGGATCGAGCCCCACGTCTTCGGACTCCCTGCTCAGTGGGGAGCCTACTTCTCCCTCTTCCTCTGCTGCTCCCCCTGCCTGTGCGTGCTCTCTCTGTCAAATAAAGAAATAAATAGAATCTTAAAAAAAAAAAGAAATTTGAAAAATTGGCTCTGAAGGCAGGTTAGACAGAATTTTGTTGCTTCCACTTAAACTGCTAGGAGATAGCAAGAGTGGTTTCTGGGCTGGATGCCCAAGATAAAGGTGTGCAGAGCGGGATTGGGAGTGATTGTCATTTGTAGCTAAATCCTGGGAACACAGCAGGTAACAGTGTTGCCCAAGAAATGGAAGGGAAGCTATCTATGCATTTAAATTAAATTAAATTAATTCATTCATTTACTTATTTATAATTTTTTATTGGAGTATAGTTGACACACTATGTTACATTAGTTTCAGATGTACAACATAGTGTACTATCTATGCATTTTAAAAATCCAAACACCTTTTCTTCTATTTCTACCTGTTCCATTTAATATTGCTGTGTAAAAAACCATTCCACATTCAATGACATAAAAGGACAACCATTTTATTATGCTTATAGATTCTGTGGGTCAGGAATTCAAGCAGGTCACCCTGGGGATAGTTTGTATCTGCTCCCCAAAGCCTGGGCTGAACTTTTTGGTCATATGTAACTAAGGACCCCTTTCTCTGGCTTTCAATGACATCTTCCTCAGTTTCCTTTGTGCCCTTGGTGCAGCCTCCTCAAGGCCTTTTAGATTTCTGACATTCTCCTTTAGGATCCTCTCCCACCCTTGCTGCTTCACATAGTCTCAAAGTCAATGTCACGTTTTACTCTTGTTATGTTCTTTTGTTATGTTTTGTTATGGTATTTATCTACTTCCAGGTAACAAAATCTGTTCCAGTTACTACTGTCATATAATAAGTGCTTACTCTTACTATTACCATGTAATAACCTTTCCCTTCCACCTCTAGAAGTCACTGGTAGAAAAATAAAGAAAAAAACTCCAGGTTACCTATGGCAGGAGAGTGCAAAAACAGAGAGGAGAGATGACTAGTTAGTGAGGATAAGGTGGGAGAACTGGAGGCAATGGAGTTGTCCAGAACCATGTGGTTATCCTCCTAGTCACTGATAGCTTTCCTTGGGCTTTCAGTGTCAAGGCCATGGAATGATACCCTCAGTATAAGAGCCGGTGAACTGTGGCTCAGTTGTTGGAGCCTGTGATCAAGTACTACTAGTAGTGTAAACCTAGTGATGCAAAACAAAAGCCATTTTATTGCATTATTATGATCAAACTTTGAAAGAGCAAGTGCAGATGGCTTGTTTCTGCTCATGATTGCTAAGCTGGGAAGACTCAAAGGCTGGAAGTTAATCCATGGCTGAGGACTGGAATCTTCTGAAGGCCCATTCAATTTCATGTCTGGCCGTTGGTGCTGGCTGCAGCTGGGACCTTATCTGGAGTTGTTGGTCACAACATCTATACTTGGTTTTCCTATGTGGCTGCTTGAGCTTCCCCAGAGCATGGTGGCTGGCATTTAAAAAAGCAAGCATTGCAAGCGAGAATCACAAAGAACCTGCAGTGCTTTTGCAACCTTCCTCAGAAGTCACCTGGTGTGGTTTCTGCTATATTCACAAGTTGGCTCAGATTCCAAGGGTAGGGAACATAGATAGACATGCCTCTAGATGGGAGGAGTATCAAAGTCTCATCATTCAAAGGAGCATGTGAGGTGGACAATGTTGTGTTGCAGCCATTTCAGAAAATAATCTGCTGCACTGTCATATACCAAAAACAGTAAGATGACCTATTACAAATATAGAACATTCTGTGCTTACTGGTGATATGTCAAATCCTTTACCATAAAAAGTAAATAGCATAGATATCACAGGATTAGAGACTAAGTCTGTGGAAATAAAGAAACTCTGTAAACCTGTCATGAGAATCTTAGGCTCAGAACTTGGGGTCCCTAGAGTCAACATCTATTTCTTCTTGAATAATTCTTCTGGAATTACCTTCTTCCTCCTGCATTGTAGTCTTAATAAATACTTTAGTTCATGGTAAATTTTCTCAGTTTGGATTTATCTGAAAATATCCTCATTACCTTCTAATTCCTGAATGCTTGTTTAGCTGGGTAAACAATTCTAGGTTGACATTTCTTTAGTACTTTGGAAATATATTTTCAGTAATTCAAAAATACCATTTTCATCTTCTATTTTCAATTGTCAAACTGTGACATCTCCTTTCAGTCTAATCAATTCTTTGCAGGTGTTTTGTCTCTGCTTGCTTTCAAAATATTTTTGTCTTTGATCTTCTGAAATTTCAGTATAATGTGTCTAGGTTTAGATTTCTTTTATTTATCCAGCTTGAGATTCATGAGCTTCCTGAATCTGAGAGTTTCTGTTTTTTCATCAATTCTGGATAATATCTATTATCCCTTAAAATACTTCCTCTTCCTTGTTCATTTCATTTTTTTATGTTCTTGGAATTCTAATGTTATGTATATTAGACATTCTATCCCTACCATTCTATCTTCCACATCTATTACATTCTATCCATACTTTCCATCTCTTTGTCTCTCTGATCCTCATTCTGGGTAATTTCTTTATACCTACCTTCCAATTTGCTTAATTTTTTCTCAAGTTGTGTCTAAGTAATGTTTAACCCATCTACTGTGAGTTTTTTTTAATGAACAATTTTGTATTTCTAGATCTTTTATTTATTTTTCAATTCTATCAGATAACTTTTTGGTATTTTCTTAATCTTTGCTTGGTTTTCTACTCCCTCACTTATTTTTTTCTACTCCCCACTTATTTTTAAAAACATTTAAGAATATTTACTTTATATTCTTTATCTGATGACTTCAAAACCAGAAGCCTATGAGATCAAAGTTCACTATCTCCTGTTTCTGTCCTTACTAAAGGTTTTTTGTGTGTTTCTGTTTGTTACCTTATGGGCTTAAAAACCCAAACCTTAGGCTCCCGCTATATGTAAGTGCTCTCAGTAGAGATGAGCCTTCAGCACTGGCACCCTACTCTGGATTCTCCATTGTTTTTTGGTCTCTGGGGATTTCCTTTTAGCTGAGCGCAAGGTTACTTGCTGTATTTTATCCAGCATTTTTAACTGTTCTGTCATTATTGATATAAATAAAATAAAAGTGATTTCACCCCTAACTTAGTCCAATCTTATTTCTATTTGTAGCTTCATTGATACATAATCTTTTAACCATTTTCCACATACACTATGTATGTATATGGAAATATAGATAAAAATAAATACACAGACATGCATACATAAATGGGATGTAGAATATTATTTTGGATTTTTTAATCATGTGTTTGATAGCTTTTCATCTGAGTACTTAAAAATGGTTGCATCATATCGCTTGCATTTTTCTAACTGAATTAACTAGTCCATATTGATAGAAATTCAAGTTTCCAGTTTTTTTTTCTTTTTTCCTACATGAGCTATGCTTCAATGAACCTCCTTGAGCTGTGCCAACCTCATAGAAATTATTTGATAAATATATTTTACATGAATATATATGTATATATATATCTTGGTGCACATATGGAAATATTATAGACTCCTAAAAGTGGATCTTGTGGGTCAAAGGGTAAGCACATTTAAAATTGCGGTAGATGACCATCAAATTGTCCCCCCTAAATTTGTGCAAGTCTTTATTCCACCAGCAATGAACAAGAGTGAATGTTTTCTCAATCCTAACAGGATATAGTATCAGTCTTAAAATTTTATATAATCAAATCGAAGAGGACTGCTGTCTATTTTTATCTGCAATTAAAATAATCTTTTTTTTTTTTTCCCAGTGAGGTGGAACATCTTTTCCTAAATTGTACCTCTAGTAAGGGCCCAGGTCATGTTAAGCTTCTGATCTGGGGACCATACTTAAGAGCTACTACTTTACTTCTTTCGATCTCTGGTTTCTAAAACAGGTTTAAAGCTGGTTATTTGTTAAAGGTCTCATGTTAACAGTTACAAGGAAACATTAAAGGCATTACGTTGTTACTGGTCTTGATCTTAGAAGCTAGATGGTAAAAGAAAGGCCACCCACACTTTGATTCTCCCAAGGGCAGGGCTGGCCCCCACCTCCTACATGAAATCCCGGCAGAGCTCTAGTTTTCCCTACTGTATCGGGGGGCTGCAAGGATTGAAAAAAATTAAGCTCTGAAGTGACACCTCAATAAATCATGGCTACTTTAACTTCATTTCGTATCATATCGCTCGTCTGCCAACCACTTGGATCCGTACAGTCACAAGAGGTCGGCTCATTAAGAGTCTGCGTGAGAACAGACTGGCAACGGCGCCTGCGCAGCTCAGAATGAGGCTCCAGGTGAAGTTTGCGTGTAACTTCAGCGGCCAGGTGAAACGTTCGGAAGCAGTGGGCAGGGTCAGAGCCCCGCGTGGGCGTATGCTTCCGGCCACGTGGCTACGCGCATGCCCAATGGGAAAGCTTGACGTCAGCCCCGCTTCCTCACCCTGGCAACGGGCGGGTGACTACTTCCGGTGCTGTGAGGGCTCGGGGCTGACGCGGGTGAGTGTCCCTCTTTCTCACGCTGTCCGCGCCGCTGCAGGCGCTGCGGCGCTGCCTCTGTCCAGGCCCATACGCTTGCTGGGACATCCTCTTCGGGGCCGGGAGGGGGCGGCGCGCAGGATGCCCACTGCCTGGGGCGGTGCTGAAGGAGCGGATCCGGGACGTCCCTCGACCCCTCGGTCGCGCGTGGCGCCTGTGCGGGTCCCCGAAGCCTTGGCTTCAGCTTGGCAGTCTTATTCCCTCTCAGGGGAAGGGACTGTCTGTGCGGGCAGCCCTCGCTGTCCTTCACTCACTTTGCAGTCGCGGGCTGCGGGGTTCTCCGAGTCGGAGGCTCGCAGAGCCCCGAGGGTGTGCGCCCTAGTCCTGCGTGGCCGGCTGGGGCCAAAACAGCCCCGTGGTGTTATAGCTAGCGGCCTGGTTAGAGTGTCTCAGGACATTAGCATTTACTGCTTAGGGCGCGGAGGAGGATAGGACCAAGAAGATGGAGAAGGAGCAGCTGGAGAGGAGGGTGGAAAACAGGAGCTGGAGGTGCCCTGGAAATAGAGGGCATCGTATTTCCGGAAGGAGGGAGTAACTTGACTCGCCTCTGTAGGGGAGGGGAAATGAAAAGGTATTTTCGGGACCATGTGACTGAGATCCTTGAATACTAAGCTAAGGAATTTTTATACACTCGGGAGTTTAATAATTTCCTTTTTTGTTTGTTTTAAATAACCCCCCCATTTGTAAAACGCAGTGCGTGCTTATTAATGAATATCTGGAAAATGCAGGAATAATTAAAAAGATCACCTGTAATTTCACCAACCCAGCATTTTGATCCCTTTCTAATTTTATAGCATTTTAAACCTATTTATGATCATAGTGTGTGTAAAATATGATTATAACCAAAAAGTATAATTTTTATACATTGCATCCATTGCATAGATTGATCTTTTATTAAGATATAATTCACATACCATAAACCCACCCTTTTAAATTGTAAATTTCAGTAGTTTTTACTATATTCATAAAGTTGGGCACCTATCACCGCAAATTCCAGAACATTTCCGTCATCTCCAAAAGAAACTGTACTCATTACAGTCACTTCCCATTTGATCCCCCAGTCCTTGGCAACCACTAATTAGATACTCTCCTCCCCTTGTTGCCCCAGTCCCTAGCAGCCACTAATCTACTTCTGTGTCTGTAGATTTTCCTATTCTGAATGTTTCTGGTAAGTGGAATTATAGAGTATTGGCCTTTTGTGTCTGCCTTCTTTTACTTACCATAATGTTTTCAGGGTTCATCCATGTTGTATTTTGTATCAGTACTTCATTCCTTTTTATGGCTGAGTAATATTCCATTATAGGAATATGCCACATTTTGTTTATCTACCATCAGTTAATGGACATTCGAGTTGTTTAATCTTTTTTACTATTATGAATAACTGTGTTGTAAACATCCATGTACAGGTTTTTGTGTGGATATGTTGACATTTCTCATATATCTAGGAGTGGAATTGCTGGGTCATATGGTAACTCTGTTTAGCTTTTTGAGGAACTGCCAGATGTTTTCGAAAGTGGACTGCACCAGCAGGATATGAGAGTTCTGATTTCTCCATATCCTTGTTAACACTTACTATCTGTCTTTTGAGTTATAGCTGTGATGTTGGTACCTCACTGTGGTTTTGATTTCCATTTCCCTTTTGGATGGTAATGTTGAGCATCTTGTCCTATGCTTATCAGCCCTTTGTGTATCTTTGGAGAAATGTCAATCCAATTCCTTTGCTCATTTTTATATTGAATTTTTTAAAAACTTTGATATTGTATGAGTTTTTTATATAGTCCGGATACAAATCCCTTATCACATATACTGTTTGCAATGTTTTTTCCATTTTCTCTCATTTTGCGGGGTTTCTTTGTACTTTTTTGAATAGTGTTCTTTGAAGTACAAACATTTAAACTTTTGGTGAATTCTAATTTATATTTTCTTTAACTGGTTGTGCTTTTGGTGTCATATCTAAAACATTGCCAAATCCAAGATTATGAAGATTTACTACTATATATTTTCCTAAGAGTTTTACAGTTTTAGCTCTTACATTTAGTTCTTGATCTATGTGGATCAAGGAATAGGTAGGTAGGAATAGGTAGGAATCCAGTTCATTCCTTGTATGTGCCTATCTGTTTTTTTCCAGTACCATTTTTTGAAAAGACTATCCTTTCCCTATTTAATTTTTTTTTTAAGGGGGGCAGAGGAAAAGGGAGAGAGAGAATCTTAAACAGGCTCCACACCCAGTGAGGAGCCTGACATGGGGCTTGATCTCACCACTCTGAGATCATGACCTGAGCCAAAATGAAGAGTTGGACGCCTAACTGACTGAGCCACCCTTGCGCCCCTATCCTTTCCCTGTTTAATGGTCTTGGCACCCTTGTTGAAAACCAATTGACCATAAATAATATAGGTTATCATTTTTTTTAACTATTTCTCTACGTTGGACATTTAGGTCACTTCCAGATTTTTGTTTTTCTAAATTATCCTGTGTTAAACACAGCATAACAGGCATAAGGCTCTTCTGTTTTTGAAGTTATTTTGGTAGAAAGTGTTCTCAGAAGTGAAATTACTGGGTCAAAGATGAAATGAGTGTGTTTTGGAGCTCATTGAATGAGGCATTAAACCTTCAGTGTCAAGATGTTAAGAGCAACAGAATGCTTCTTTATTCATCAGTTGCTATAGCTTAAGGGCTGGATTTCTATAAAAGCCTTTTGCTGTAAGATGGATGGATTCCCTGACTTATTCTTTGACTGCTTCTAAGAGACTAAGTAAATCTAGAGTGAAAAACTTCAACACCAGGGGCAAACAGGACATGTCATAATTTTCTAAATGGTATAAAGAAAAAAAAAGTGTCATCACATGCAGTAGGAGAATAAAAGTCTTTGAGAGAACTGGGGTTGAAATTTAGACCTTAAATCAGTGCCTTGAAAATCCCTGGAGCAAAAACGATGTTTTATTCTTAGTTTCTCTTCTGACCTTGATAATCAGGTTAATTTGCATTCATCTTAGTCTCAGAGATGGCTAACTTAAATCTGTGTTTAGTAGATACTACCTGGTTAAAAAAAAAATCAAATGCAAAAGGCTATTAGGAGAAAATCACGTTTCCTTTTCATTTTGCCCCTCATTCTCCCTTAGGGGTATCCATGGTACTATTGTTAATTGTGTTTGTTATAGACTAGTTCATACATAGATTATCTCTGGAAAAATAGTATATACAAAATTAAACATTTTAAAGACTTTGATACTTCCTGACATTCATTTTCAAAATGGTTACTTACGTCAGTTTATGGTGGCAATACAGTGCTAGTTAGGAAGATTCCATTTTTGTTTATATTTCTTTGAATATTCTTTCCTTAATATTGGATATCCAGTTTATATTTCCTCTTGCGTGTATTGTCTGCTCTTGTCTTTTGGCATGCTGTTCGATTTTGGAGTTGTCCTTTATGAGATTTATTTTGGCAGCCTTTTGTAGTTGGTTGTTTTACAATAGTCTGGATTTGGGGAGAAAAGTTAAAATGCTTTTTGTAACATGCTACGCGGTATGTGAGCTGAACAAGGGTCGAGGCAGTAGGGAAAAAGAAGTTAAATGCTTGAGGGAGAAATTTATAAGATTTGGAAAGTGCGTGCAGTCCAAGATGACTTCCAGGTGAGTTAGAAAGGGATTAGTGCTATTAAAAATAAGGAGTGATGTGGGAAGAACTAGATTTCTGTGGAAAAATGAGATTGTTTTGGGTAGATAAACAAACAGGGTTCTAGAGGGGAGGGGGTGGGGGGATAGGTTAGCCTGGTGATGGGTATTAAAGAGGGCACATAGTGAATGAAGCACTGGGTGTTATATGCAAACAATAAATCATGGAAAACTACATCAAAAACTAATGATGTAATGTATGGTGATAACATAACATAATAAAAAAAAAAAAAGAAAAAGAAAAAGTGAAGAGGATCCAGGTTGAGCTAGGCTATCCTGGAGACTTGCCGCTAGAGCTCAAGAGACAGAAGATAGAGAGTTACAAATAATCTGATTTACTGAGAGAGGATTGTTTTAAAAGGTTGGCAGTGGATGAAATTGCTGAAGGAGACATTTGAGAATAGGCCTGTGGACAGGGAGTCATGTAAGAGGACAAAGTTGAGAAGGATCAGAGGGGTCATAAAGAGCTGGGATGGGAGATTGGCATGCTTGCCACGATGGGGGGGATCTAGAGAACAAAGGTTGCAAGTAGCAGAGTAAGAAAAGGTCATTAGGTTTGGTTACTTGGAGAAGATACACTTATGGGAAAAGATACAGTTTATGGGAAGCAGGAAATTTGTTTTTTTTCCAAACAACTTTATTAATTTATTAATTTATCCACTTAAAGTGTACAACTCAGTGGTATTTAGTATATTCAGAATTGTGCAACCATCACCACAATTTTAGAACATTTTTATTGCCACCAAAAGAAAGCCTGCCCCCATTAGCAGTCACTCTCCAATTCCCCTTTAGCTTCCCAGCCCAAGGCAACAATTAATCTGCATTCTGTCTCTTTAGATTTGCCTACTCTGGATATTTCACATAAATGGAAACATACAGTATGTGGCCTTTTATAAGTCTGACTTCTTTCACTGTTTTCAGGGTTCATTCATGCCATAGTATGTATTAGTACTTAATTATTATTTTTTTTATGGCTAATTAATGTTCCGTTGTATGAATATACCACATTTTGTTTAACCATTATTGGTTCATGGACATTTGAGTTGTTAGCACTTTTTGACTATTATGAATAATTCTGCCATAAACATCCATGTACAATTTTTTTGTGTGGACATGTTTGTAGTTCTCTTGGGTGTATATACCTACAAGTGAAATTACTGGGTCATATGCTAACTCTATGTTTAATTTTTGATGCAGCTATTGCAGAGGATGGACAAGTTGCCAGTGTTTTAAAAACAATAAAATGAATTTGAATATCATCACTAGTAGTAAATTGCAAAATGTCCATTTTCAAGCATATTATTCAGAAATAAAGGCATTATAAAAAATGAGCTATACAACTGTTTTCTGTTGTGTAAAAACTATAACATGTTTATACATTTCCTTTCATTGGAAACCTTGTGTGTTGAATGTTACCTCAAAGCTTAGCTGAAATGTTCGACATTTTTCTTGCAGAACAGTATGTTGATGTAAGTATGCTTCATCAATTTCAAATAATGATTTGTAATAATGAAGTGAATACAAATTTGATAAAAAATAATCCTAGGGATATTTGATGTTAATCTACAGTAATGATTTATTTTTTACTCCTTAGTCTCAACTGTAGAGATCAAATACTACGATTTTTTTTAATTTGAATTACCTGTAGTTCGTGCGGCCTCAGAAATTCAAGATCCAGAAAAACAAAAGCAAAAACAGAAAAACAAAACAAAAACTTTTTGGGCCAGTATTGTTGGTTGGCTATGTTTTTGTCCATTCCTGCCCTAGGTGGAATGAGTGTTGAGAACCTTCAGCATATGGTATTTTCCCTCTTACTGAAGTTTTTAAGTGAGATCTCATAGGCTTGCTCTATTTTGGAACTTGGATTTAGCTAGTTACTTTATGTTTCCATAAATAAATAAATGAATAAAAAAAGTTTTTTTGGAAAGCAATATGTTCAGATTTTTCGATATTGGAAAGTATAAACAATAAACAATAAAATTTCCATTCCACTTTTGTCCGTCAGTCTTTCAAATCTTCTTTGGGTGACCACTATTATTTTTGCGCATATTCTTCTAGATTTGTACTTTGCATATATACTTAGCTGTATTATTTTTTCTCCCCTCCCTCAAAATATGGCATTGCGTGTATTTTTGTACTGTGCCTTTTTTACTTATATATCTGTAAGATTAGTCAATCTATATATGTATATCAAGAATATTCTCATTTTTTCCAGTGGCTGCTTTTATTTTAACCACTTACATCAAGACATATTGTTGGTTTATATCTTTACTATTACAAATAATCCTTCAGTGTGCATTTGTAATTTTGATTGACTTTGCCAGATTGCCCTTGTTGAGTTTTGTCATCTTATGCTGCTCCTAACAGTGTATGAGAACTCCTGTTTCTCAATAGCCTCAAAACGTGATATCATTTTGATGTTGGTCAACCCAAGTTGAAAAATGGCATTTGGGTGTAGTTTTATTTTCTATCTTTCTTTTGAGTGAGGTTTAGCATCTTTTGATCTATTTAAACTGTTATACAATTTTTCTGTTAACTGGGATTTGCCCATTTGCCCTTTGTTGTCTTATTTTTAGTCATTTGTTGGAACTCTTTATTTATTAGGTAGGTCAGACCTTTAATGGGTTTAGAGTTAAACAAAAACTAATGTTGGAGTAGAAGTTGCTTCAAATCAAAACATTCCACTAACCATTGGGAGTTGAGGCCAGAGTTGTACATTGCATAGCCTGTATTTAAGTTTCTTTCCCAGTCCTGCAGAACTTTGGGGGCCAACATTTTTGGAGGAGTTTATGGAGATGACATGATTTTCTAAATAAATATATTTCAGATAGTCTCTGAGGGATGGTAGATTGCTCAAGAAATAGCATATTAATTTATCTTGCACATTTTATTTTTTTCAGACAAGCCTGGAAGCAATGTTTTTAAATCTCTCATATACATGAACATGCCTATTACATCAACCTTATTCATTGTTAAATATAGATGTTTCAGTTTCTTATTTATGAAAAAGTGTATCTGATAACAATGAGGCAGTAGCTTGAAGTTTAATAACCCATAATGCTTGGATATTTTTTCATTTTAACTGAAACTCTTAATTTTCCAAGGCCTGAGTTTTCGTTCAGCCTATGTTTGTGGGACTAGTGGGTCCCAGCTGATTTCATTGCTTGGTCAGACGTGATGGCATGTATAGGCTGGCAGATGGACTGCTAATCATTTCAATTCCACTTCGTCGATGACACATGAATACATAGTATTCAAAGTCAAATAACCAAAGAGAAATAACCAAATAGCCAAAGTCAAATAAAAGTAATTGAGGCAGATCCTTGTGAAGTCATTAGAAGAAGATCCATTCTTAGAAAGACAGCTGCCACCACAAAACAAAAACAAAAGCAGGTATTTCAGTTCACTTTTATTTAATCAACATCAGCACACTTTTGTAATCAAAAGTTTCTTCCTGCATTTGTGAATATATGTTAACATTTTAATACAAGAGCATATATATTTTGATTTAAAATTATTTGTCCTTTAAATGAAGTGTTATATAATAAAAATTCAATGGACTCTTTTTTTTTACTTTAAATTTTTTATTGTTATGTTAATCACCATACATTACATCATTAGTTTTTGATGTAGTGTTCCATGATTCATTGTTTGTGCATAACACCCAGTGCTCCACGCAGAATGTGCCCTCTTTAATACCCATCCCAGGCTAACCCATCCCCCCATCCCCTTCCCCTCTAGAACCCTCAGTTTGTTTTTCAGAGTTCAATGGACTCTTTTTAACCAAGAATTAAAAGAAGTTAAAATGCCATGTTGCAGTGCTTCTCAGACCATCTCTGGTGTAAAGGACCCACTTTAAAAAATGTTCAATCCGTTGTTGACTATTTCTTTTACAAAATGCTAAAAGAACCAAAACTAAACCCCCCAAAACAAGCTCCAAACAAAACTGAAATATGAAAGATTAATGGAATATTATGCAGCCATCAAAAATTTGAAATCTTGTCATTTGCAATGATGTGGTTGGAACTAGAGGGTATTATGCTAAGTGAAATAGAAAAAGACAATTATCATATGATCTCACTCATATGTGGAATTTAAGAAACAAGGCAGAAGATCATAGGGGAAGAGAAGAAAAAAATGAAACAAGACGAAACCAGAGAGGGAGACAAACCATCAGAGACTCTTTAATCTTAGGAAACAAATTGAGGGTTGCTGGAGGAGAGGGAGGGTCAGGGGATGGGGTTGAGAGGTGATGGATACTGGGGAGGGTATATGTTGTAATGAGCACTGGGTATTATATAAGACTGATGAATCACAGACCAGTACCTCTGGAACAAATAATACATTATATGTTAATTAATTGAATTTAAATAAAAAAAGAATAAGAGATAAAAATAAAAGCTCAATTTTATTACATTTAATAGGTAAAGTTGCTTCAAAAATATAATAAAAAAAGGAAATAGAAAAAAATTATAAGAAGTATACACATTGTTGAAAATGTGTATAGAAACCAATTAATATATTAATAAAATAAGTCTCTTGCAGACTGGTAACAAGCCCTGGTCTGCAGACCACACTTTGAGTAACACCACTTTTTTGGGTTAGGCAGCTAAGTCACTTTTTATGTGACTATTTATGTTTTATATTGGCAAAGAAAGACTTGCGTCCCTCCCTACTTCTCAGTTTAGAATAAGGTCTAGATTTTACCTACCAGTGTGAATCTAGGTGTCTTACTGTGATAATCATTTTATGGTATGTGTGTGTCAATTGTTTTGAATACCATAAACTTACACAATGTTATATGTTCATTATATCACAATAAAGCTGGGGGAAAAAAGTAAGCTGCAATCTCGGCTTTACGTCAAGGCTTGGTGATATTATCAGCATCACCTGTGATTCTAGAATGTCCCAGAGATTATTAGCATTTGGATTAAAGGGAGTAGAAAGTGATATTGAAGTTATATTGAGGTTTTCTTCAGTGTAAATACAATGAAAGATAGAATATCTTTGGACTCAGTATGAAGTCTTTTTACAACAGTTCTTTTGTTTATATGATTTTAAGCAAGTACTGTCTGTGGACAGAGATTTCAATTCTAACCTTTTTGTATTCTTTGTATTACCCAGTTAAATAACTTTAAAATTAGGTTTTTGGGAAGTTATCTTTGCACAAATTTGTATAAGTTATGTGTGTGTTAGTGAAAGAAATATATACCATCTTTGCCTGTTTTTCTTTAGGGCAATTCCTCTCCTGCAGTTACTTTTGGATGGAAGTATGCACTTTTCCCAATAGAAGATGGTAATCTCGGAGAATGACCATGGAGAAGGGGATGAGTTCTGGAGAAGGGCTGCCTTCCAGATCATCTCAGGTTTCGGCTGTTAAAATAACAGTCAAAGAGTTCGAAACAAAGCAGTCCCATAAGGAGAAGCGAGGGGGCTTTGTGTTGGTACATGCAGGTAAGCTCTCAGTGGACGAGTTGGAAGATGAAAATAGTTTTGATTTTTTTTTTTCTTGCCTTGAAGTACACTGAGAATTGAATTTCACATCTGGGGGAGGCAAACTGCCAGAGAGGAGTTGGAACCAAAGAGATTGACTTCAATATAGGTTTCTCCTACTTCCTGCTTGGAAGATCTTATAATGACAGCTCTTCCTATGTCTTCTTCACTTCTCTACCCCATTATTTACTTTTACCCCATATAATAGATGCAGTTAGGTAGTGTTAAAATCAGACAAAGTAATTTCTTAAACGCTGGTTTGTGTTTTTAAAAATGCTGCTGAAAAATTTTATTGACCCCATGTTTGACTATGGCTATTTAATTAATTAGTTAATTTATTTTTAAAAGATTTTGTTTATTTATTTTCAGAGAGAGACAGAGTTCTGAGTCGGGGGAAGAGCAGAAGAGGAGGGAGAGGGAGAGAGAGAATCTCAAGCATACTCCATGCTGAGCATGGAGCCCAATGTAGAGCTCCATCCCACAACCCTGAGGTCATGATCACAGCTAAAATCAAGAGTTGGGTGCTTAACTGACTGAGCCACCCAGGTGCCCCAACTATGGCCATTTTAGCATATGATTACACAGCCATAGAACTAATTTGCCTTCTTAATGTTACAAGTGAGGAAGAGAGATTAAGCAGCTTTAGCCCCACGGCTAGTTTGTACTACAGCCAGGTTGAGTCACCCATAAGTGGGTCCTTAGTCCCAATATAGTGCTTTTGACAATACAGAGGACCTGGAGAACAGACGCAGTGAAGTTCAACTTCTGGGTCCCTGATCATTGAAGAGTTTGTGTTTCAGAGTAGTGCAGCACTGCTCAGGTCTACCCAGGAGGCTTTTTTTTTTTCTTTTTTAAGTCATTTTTATTTGCTTGTATTTATCTAAAATTCATGACTTCTGTGAAGGGAAAAGGAATGGCTGGATCTCCTTTTAACTTTCCTCAGATAGGCAAGCAGGGTGGAATCAAGATTAACTTTGATGTGGGATAAGGAGTAGAATTGTTTCTTCTTGTCAAACTGGTGTTGTGCCTGATCATTAACTTTTGGCTATATCTGGACTAGATAACTTGGGAAGTCTTACAGAATCTAATCCAGGAGAATCGGAAAACCCAGGTTCAATTTGCTTTTCTTTCAAAAGATTTTGCAAAGAAATGAGGTAAATTTTAGAAATAACCCAGTTAGATTTAGACTTGGAACCAGAACGCCTGCCTTCTACTACACCATGTTGGTGCATCTTTCATGATACCCAGTGAGTTATTTCATTCAAGAATGAGTGTGTGACAAATGTACAAGAAAGGTTCCAGATTTGTAACATGCAACAACATAGAGCTTTTGATTAGTTGGAAGGCATTGCTTTCTATGACTATCATGATGGGATCCCTCTTCTTTCAGACACTCACTAGATGGGAATGGCTCTTAGATGAAGTTGCTGCTGGGGGCCAGCAGTAATAGGATGAAATCTGGGTCATGGCAGGAAATTATGTGGGTTAAGGTGACCCTCTCCTGAGTTATTAGAAGGTCAGATAGACTGATTATGCAAAAATATATGTCTTGCACATTTAAGGGACAAAATTTCAGTTCCTTATCCATTGTAGAGATTTTAAAACTTTTTTTTTTTTTTAACTAGAGGAGACTTGCCCAAATGTTAGTCATTTGAATCTTAGATTCTTGATTTTTCCTTGATCTGTATACTACTTATACTATTTACCTAATATTAAAAAGCTCAACACTTTTTACCTTAAAACTTGAAAGATGAAACTTACCTTAAATGATATGTCAGTATCACTTGTGTGAGGAGAAAATAACTTTAAACACAGTGCAACCAAAACAGTGTAATTAAATCTTAGCTGAATCTTGTTGTATGTCAGTGGCTTAGATTCTGAGGCTACCTTTCCTTTGTTAGATAGAGAAATTACCAAGTGTTAACCAGATATGAAAGATGTACTGTGGCCATGCTGAGACTTTTCCCTTACTCAAAACAGAAGGATTTATATGTTAAATCCTATTAAAACTGTCATCCATACACTAAAGTTATATATTTAGCAGTAGTGTCCCATGATTTGGGAAATACTGCTGAAAGATTGGGGCCCCCAGATCTAAGATGACAGATGTGTTAGAGAACTATGAAGAGGGGCCTGTTAAATACTGGTTCAGGCTCTATGAAGTTTCAGAGTTCTCCTGAGAAATAGGATTAGAATTGGGGTGATTATGGATTCCTCTTGCTTTGGCATCTTTTCTGCTCTCCTGGGTCCCTGATTGATAGATTCATGAGCCATTTCTTTCTCTGGTCTGAGGAAAGTTGGGGTAAGTTTGTGTCGGAGTCTATAGACTCACTTGAGGAGCCCTGAGGCCTAGAAATGCAGTTCTTAACCTTCCTTCATGGGAACTTGGTGGCTGGATGAGGAGGTGATTCAGAGCTCAGTTAAAGAACTTTGTTTAGAAGCCTAATCATCAAGAGACTTTAAGGACTCTTGTCTTGGTTTCTTTCTTATTTCGATTATTCTCAAATCCCTAACTAAGCAGGTATTAATCCTCTTAGGGAAACCAATTTCAGAGCGATTCTCTTGAGGAAGTTGCTGGGTGTTTAAGAGTTTGGGACCACTGGGATTTCTAATAGGCAGACTACAATATGCTGTCACTGAGGTTTCAGAGACACCATGAGTTATATTACGACAGTGACAGGATGTAAAAAGTGTGCATGGGAGCCGTGGTATTTGGTGGTTGTGGAGAGGTGGGATGTAATACTCCTCAACCTCAAATGTTATTTAGAAACTACATAGTTTTCCAAAGTTACTCTTAAGAATTCAGGATTCTGAACAGTAATTTGCCAAGTGGCAGGGGCTTTCTAAAGGTCAACAGAAAGGAACATGAAGGGACTCTGTCCCTGACACCTCCTGGGTTATCGACTCCAGACCAAAAAAAACTCCTGACTTTGGAGAGAGGTTTTCAAAAGAAGATGGTCTTGGTGGAGCCTGTTTGGGAATATGAGCTATTTTTAGTGCCTCTGGCAGGAAAATAGCCTTTGAAAAAGGAGGTAAGACATGGCATTAAAAAGGCTTATGGTAGAGAAGGAAGCTATTAGAATTTGAAAACTCCATACATATAGGACAATAGCTTTATTGTCACCAGGAGAGCATCAGTTTGTATGACCTATTTATATAAGTAAAATCTCTAATATTTTAATGATAACTAACAACTGGTTGTTTTTTTCCACTACAGGTGCAGGTTATCATTCCGAATCCAAAGCCAAGGAATATAAACATGTATGCAAACGAGCTTGTCAGAAGGTATGAACAGAGTGTGTCTGATGGAAACATTTCAGTTTTGGCCAGCAAGCAGCTTTACCTTGAAATTCAAAATTTTAAGGTTTGACTTCTAAGGTAGTCTTTAGTTTGGACCATGAAATTATTTTGCTCATATTTGTGGGGGTCTCTTTTTTGTTTTGTTTTGTGTTTTTTATTCTCCAAATGATGCTTAGATCTTTCCCTTCCTTTCCCAGATTAAAGTCTGTATTTTTGGAATTGTGGGCACATAATCATGTATCTTTTAGTCTTTGCAAAGGCATTGAGCTCCATTGAAGGAGTAGGGAAAACAGTTAAAAGGCAGCCAATGTGTCTTTCTACGAAGGGAAGAAAATAAATAATAAAAAATTAAAATGGGTGCTTTTCTTGGGGAGATTATCCTGTGCTTTTTCCTTCTGTTTTTCATTATGTAGTTTGTATCATAGCAAATTCATTGTCATTCCTGAGTTTAGCTTTTGCCCTTGTTCTCAGTTGTGCTTTTTTTCTCTTTGGTTTTTGAGGTTTTGCTAAATCGTTGGAAACTCAGTGTGGAGGCAGGAATGGACTCAGAAGAAATATTGTTTGTTTTTATTTTGATCTTGACTATATACTCTTTTTGGCAAAGCTTCCATTACATTTTATGCAAATATAATGTTAATGGATATTATATACTGTGTAAATATGGGTCTCTTCCAGCTCTTTTCATTTAAATACCATTTAAAAGAAAGATTATACTTTATTAGAGATCCAAGCTTTTTCTTACGATGAAATCACATAAATAAATAAGAATATTTTGTTATAGGGATTTTATTGTTTTTGAAATTTATAATAAAGCTAAAAGTTCTCTAAACTATTTCATATTTTTTATCTTAATTTTCAAAGTTTGAGATGTTTTCATCTGAAAAAAAATGTTTTCTATAACTATAGTCCTAGAATCCTAATACATTTGGAATGTATAATCAGCCCCCTCAATTTACACAATGAATGAACTTAAAAGTTTAATGAGGAATACCACTCTTAGCTTTTGAGCATTTTCTCTGTTGACTAAATTGGTGCTTTAATAGTTCATTTAGAAATCAATTTTCCTTCTCTCTCTTTCCATTATGCTACAGAAGTTAGGTGATTTTATGGGCCTTTACTGTCTATAGTTTATATTACAAAAGAACATGATTTGTTTATCTCAATATATCATACAGTAGTCTGCCGTTATCCATGGGGGATATGTTGTAAGACCCCCAGTGGATGCCTGAAACTGCATATTGTAGCGAACCCTATATGTACCATGTTTTTTCCTATATATACATACCTATGATAAAGTCTACCTTATAAATCAGGCACAGTAAAAGGTTAACAACAGTAACTAATAATAAAATAAAACAGTTGTACTGTGTTGTGTATAAAAGTTGTGTGTATGTGGTCCCTTTCTCTGTGAAAATATCTTATTGTACAGTACTCACCCCTTCTTCTTCTTGGGATGATGTGAAATGATAAAATGCCTCTATGGTGGGATGAAGTGAGTGAATGACACAGGCATTGGGGCATAGTGCTAGGCTATTCTTAACCTGATATTATGTCAGAAAGAGGATCATCTACTTCTGGACCGCAGTTAACTGGGTGTAATTGAAATTGTGGGTAAGGGGGAACCACTGTAGTACCAAAAATGTTTTTGTCACATGTATGTGTTCATCTAAAGATTCTGAAATATTTCTGTGATTGAGAGTCACTGTTTTTTATAGTTAGGGGTGTGGAGAGTAGTAGCAGTGGGAGAAGATGTTATTAGTTTAGTCTGAGATTCAATTATGTATGTAAAGTATGAATTATGAGGATATTTTTTCTTTCTCTAAATATTTATTTAAATTCCAGTTAACATACAGTGCCACATTAGTTTCAGGTGTAGAATTTAGTGATTCATTACTTACATACAACACCTGGTGCTTATACAAGCACCCTCCTTTGAATTATCAGGATATTTAAACCAAACTGAATTCACATAATGTCTATGGCTATTTTGAATTGCCGTGTGATGAAGGAAACCCTTTCACTTACTAAATCGCCTGCACTTTGCATTTAGTGGTTAGATTTTATTCATTGTCTTAATTTGAATGATAAGTGAACTATATCATGAATTATCCTGAATATAAACCCTTGCTTGTTTTAAATCTAAGTAGGTTATGTCTTTTTTTTTTTTTAAAGATTTTATTTATTTGTTTGAGAGAGAGAATGAGAGAGAGAGAGAGAGCATGAGAGGGGGGAGGGTCAGAGGGAGAAGCAGACTCCCTGCTGAGCAGGGAGCCCGATGCGGGACTCGATCCTGGGACTCCAGGATCATGACCTGAGCCGAAGGCAGTTGCTTAACCAACTGAGCCACCCAGGCGCCCTAGGTTATGTCTTGAAGTATGGAATGGAACTAGTGATTAATTTTTACTAACTCTAAATGTCTCCTACACTTCTTTAAGGCTTTGGAAAGTTTTTGGTTATGTTTGGGAAGTTGTGGTTTTACAGTGAATAATCTCTCTCCTTGGTTTCATAGGCAATTGAAAAGCTACAGGCTGGTGCTCTTGCGACAGATGCAGTGACTGCAGCTCTGGTGGAACTCGAGGTATTTCTTTTCTATGTTTTATTTAAAATATTTGTGAGTTTATGTTCATTATTCTTAAATGACATGAAAGTGTTGAGTTAGTTAATCATCAATTATATGACCAGTGTTTCCCAACTGTATTAAAGTTAGGAAGAAACCTGTGATATATTATTAGGTTGTTTTCACTGGGGACGTCTCTGAATAACATAAAAGTTGATTAAATCCCTCTTCCCCACCCCTTTTTGTGACTTTCATGAATACAAAAGTTATTGGTGTTTGGATACCCACATTTTCTTATGTTTAATAGGAAAATTCCTGAAGTTAACTCCCCTTCCTCAAAAGTAATACATGTTCTCTTGTTTAGGAAACAAAAAGTTACAGCTGTCTAGAAGTGTCTAAAGAAGAAGGGGAAGTTTCCTCATAAACCTATCAATTAGATTTGTATCCTGAAGCCATGCTGTGTGAAGTGTGTCTTGTCCAGTGTGATTATTAAGTTGGTTTCCAGTTAACTGAAGACATTGAGGAATTCAGTGGGGAGGCTCTAAAGGTCGCTATACTTTGTACTCTATATTGAGGGACTGAAACTTTGAGGATGAATTTGTCCTGGAGATTATTGAGGCCTTCGGAAGACTGACTTTTGTTGTTCATACTTAGAGAAGATAGATTTGTGTCAGTCTGTTTAGAGGATTATAGTGAACAAATAGTTTTCTGGTTGAGAAGATTGCTTGGGGAATCAAGATATGAAGATAAACCAGTGATGAGTTTGAGGTAGGAGGTGGATGGAGTGGGTCTTCCCAAGTTGACTGGATTGTGGCCCTTTGGTTTAGGCTCTCATATCAGAGTACCTACCCAGTTAGGCCAGGCCTTGCTTTTCCCTATGAAAATTGCTCAGGAGTTGACCAGAAGCCCTGGCCGTGTTTTCTCTATATTCCCCTGCTTAGTTGTGGAGCTATGCTTTAGATCATGCTTTGTAGATTTTAATCTCTCCTGTTAATGCCTTCAGATGGGTCCAAGTGTAGTTGAGGAAGGTGAACATCTACGATGGGTACAAGTTCTTTCGTAGTTTGGTTCCTGAGACATCTGACTTCGGATATATGGTCCCCTCCTGTTTGTGACTGATATATCTTACACCAGCTCTACCAGTCCTTAGCCCTGGGCACCTCACAGATTCTCCTTTACTCAGTTTTTTCATTTATAATGTGGGGGTAATTCCTATTTCATAGAGTTCTGAAGATTGAGTTTTAACATATGACAAGCACTTAGGGCATTGTGTTACACATAGTAAGCACCCCTGAGAAGTTAGTAATTATTACTGTTATGAAGTACTTTGGAATGATATATATGAGCTGAATATTTATGGTGACTATGAATGACATGTTTTTATAATGCCGGGAAAAGATTAACTATATAGTGTGGATGAAAGGAGAAAAGTGCTGCAAGAAAGAAGATTGATGTACTTACCAGCAGATCTTACCTTTACTCAAAACACACAAGGAAAGCTTCATCTAACTTAATTAAATTGTTAATTGCAAATTACTCTCCTTTGTGCATAAGAGGATGTCCTGAGGTTATCGGTGGTGCATGGATGGAGTCAGTGTGGGTCCAGGGAAAGAAAAAGAAGGTTAATGAGTAGCTGGGAGATAATACTGTAATGGCAACTATGAATATAAAATTGAGTAAAATTAAGTTTTTCTTTTCTTTTCATTTTAGAATAACTTTAATTTTCTCAAGTCATACTTCTATCATGTTGAATATTTTACTACATTTTTCTCCAGTGATCAATCAACCATACTTTGAGTTTACTTATTTATGCTTAAAAATGATTAAAAATACATTCTGGAATAGTAAGTTACTTACAAGTAAGTGAGCTTTATAGTTTTGAATGATGACCTCTGTTTTTTAAGAGTGTGGATATGAAGTTCTTTTTTAAACAAACTTGTTCTATTATTTTTTTACTGGACTCTGCTATATAGATAATGGGAGCATGAGATACACCTGAGTGAGTTTAGTGTACTTCTCCCTCTCACCCCCATTGTTAAATTTGGAGAAGAAGTTCAATTAATTATCTTTAAGAATTCACTTTTATGTGGAATCTTTGAAATATGTTAGTAGTTTAATGGCTAATAAGGCTAGCTGGAAGAGTTTTCCTAAATCTTAAGAATTATGTTGGAAGTCATGCTTATACTGCCCCCTGCAGTTTTGGTTGCTTTGATTCACCACCTTTAAACAAGGTGAGGTTTTCAAGAGTTCAGTTGGAGTATTGTAATAGTTTAGGTCAATGGAATGATATAAGGAAATCAGATTCTAATATTTTATGTACTTAGAAAAATATAAGTAACAATATTGAGTCCTTTCAGCTTACTGAAAAGGCCCAGAGAGTTTTGATTTATAATGTGTTATGTTTAATTTGAGAGTACCTACTTTTCTTTGGTTTTGACCAATATATTCAATAAAGCTAAGTCTTGTCCTAATTGCTGAAATCATACCTTTTTTTTTTTTTTTGACTTTGGGATGTACTTTTTTTGAGTAAAAAAAAAACCCCTTATTTTTTAAACTTAGGCAGAATCCTTGAACACTTTATTAACTGTGGGCTGAAATGACTGAAATGGTTTAATGGTCCTTACTGGCTAGAGGGGGTATCTAGCCTTGTATTTAAAAAAAAAAAAATGAGAATTTGCACTTACCCAAATAGGCAAAAGTACGCTGATTTCAACTCCATGCCATAGGGGAGGAAGAGACAAGAAAAGAATAAGAAAAGAAAAAGAAATTTATATGTATAGACACAAGCACACTTATGCAGGTCACCTAGACTCATCATTTTTGAGCTTTTCTTGGAAACCGATCACCTTGTGTAGTTTCATTATCCCTGTTTACCACTAGAGACAGTGGTGTCATCCTAAGACTACCACTTCTGGACACTAGAGGGGTGTTTCATTTAAAGAAGTGGGGAGGTGAGTGCCTAAGTTCCTGCCTGTTAAACTGACCAGCTTCTCTCTTCAGGGTTTTGGGAGGGAAGGTGGCCACTCCATTTGAGGCGTGCTCTGCAGTATGAAAATGAAAATGATATGACACCAAAATGCATTTTATTTATCCTCAAAATGTGAGGAGCGAAATGGAAAGGCCAGTTTATAGATCATATTTAATTTATTGTTAAACTGATTTGGTCCCATTGTTTCACTTAGCTATTGATAGCTTTTTTGAGATTGTCCTTACAACTGATGGGTAAGTGACTTCTATCCATTGGATAGTACAGTTCTAATCTCACTCATAGTGGAGAAGAGGTGTTGTGAAACATCTGATCTTCCTATCTGGGGCTATTCATCTGGAAGACAGTTGTTTTCATGGCTGCTTTTGGAATAGTTTTGGTTCAGGTAGTGGCAGTGGATTGTAAACTCTAGACCATAATTTTGTGCATTTCACATGGGATAGCTTATGATATGAATTTCTTTGAGGAAATTGGCTATAGATCTGGATGAGTCATGATGCAACTGTTAATGTAGAAAATGTGTCACAGATTCTGATGGGAAACAAGCTACTTGTAAAATACTGAAGCTCCCTTTGCACACCGATGTTTTTCTGAAAAACATCTAGTAAGACCTTTCTAATAAGGAATTCCTTTCTGATAAGGAATCAGAGGTGAAATGTGAATGACACACTTTTGAGAGGTTATTTGTAGTCTTGCATGAGAAAACTGATGAATCTGGCTGAGAGTTTGAATATCTTGGTGTAGGCTTTGAGAGATTTTGGTCAATTCATTTTGAAAACTAGTTATTTTGGTAAGTAGAATACTGTGCATTAAAAATAGTGGTAGATATATCTTTGAAATTTCATATAGTGAAAGGCAGCTTGCACAGGCTCCTTTGTTAAAAATGTTTTGTTGAGTTTATATTATTCTAAGTGGACCCTGCAGCTCTTATGCTGACTTGATTTGATTCATCCTTTAAGGCTCTCTGTGATCAGGGAAGATGGTAAGTCATGGTTGAAATTAGTTTGTTGTCGAAATGCTTTAACATTTAAAGAACAGATTATATCGGGCACACATTTTTATATCTGTCTGCTAAGCAGTCTGTTGTCTCTGGGTCTCTATATAATCCAATGTAATGCTTGCTTATAAACTCTAGGAAAGTTCTTTAAGAAGTAACTTCTTATAGATGGCTGATAGTTTGGGGTGTGAGAGAAAAAATATTTGCATTATTGCATATTTCTATTATATATAATATCGTCACACATTTGTCTGTCTCTATATCCTCTTACACCCAGAGCCAGCCCTGCATGCATTTCTTTAAAGCAGGGATCTCCAGAATGTCATCACTGTTTTTTTTTTTTTTTTTTTTTAAGATTTTTTTTTGGAAAGGGGAGACAGTGTACACAAGCAAGGGGAGAGGCAGAGAGAGAGAGGGAGAAGCAGACTCCCTGCTGAGCTGGGAACCTGATGTGGGGCTCGATCCCAGGATCTGGAGATCATGACCTGAGCTGAAGGCAGATGCTTAACCATCTGGGCCACTCAGGTGCCCCTCCAGAATGTCATCACTGTTGACTAGTCTGTTGTTGGTGCCCCCATCCAGGTCTCTGTGCAGCTGCAGGATTAGGCCACACCCCCTTCTCTTGGGCTAGAATTGTCAATGTGCCACAGGGAGGGAGAGAGAGAGAGCACCTAAGGCCTGCCAGTCCTTGAAATGCTTAGTGGTCATGGAGATGGTATGGATTGCTCCTGGCATATGGGTATATCTAGGATGGAAGGGAACTTTGGGAAAGGCTGATATGCCCCACTTTCTCTTAACAAAACCTGTTCGCAAGTTTGCTTGTGGAGTTTCTTTGTTAGTAGACACTTAACCACATCCTGCCCCCTACCCTACTTCAGTGTTTTATTTTTGTTGTTGTTGTTGAATAAAAAAAGAGGGGCATTTGTTTTATGGCATTTTTGTGTATTTGGGAGGTTAGAAAAGTATGTAAATAAACAAGCATCTCCATTTTTCTGAACATTTTCTGTTTTGCAGAAATCATCTTTTCATAAGCAGAGG